TTTCCTGATCTTCTAGGTTTATCTATATTTTATTGTACCCGGAGTAGGCATCGAGAAAACTAAGGATCTCTTGCCCAGTCGTGGCATCGATCATGCGATCGATATTCGGTAAAGGAAATGAATTTTTAGGGCGCTTTGTTTAAATCTTTATAGTCTACGCACATTCTAAGTTTGTTTCCCTTTTTAGGGACTACAACTACATTTGCTAACCATTCAGGATATTTTACCTCCCTGATGGATCCTATATTGAGAAGTTTCATTACCTCGTCCTTAATGAATGCATGTTTTACCTCGGGCTGAGGTCTTCTCTTTGTTTCATCGGGCGGAATTTCGGGTCCAAGCTCAGTCGATGCGTAGTGATCTCCGGTGGGATCCCTGTCATATCTAAGTAGGACCAAGAAAAATAATCCATGTTATTTGAAAGCAATTGAAGGAGTTTTTTCTTGAGCTCGGGAGTTAACCCTGTGCCCATGTATACCTTTCGATTGGGCAGATGCTCGATTAGTATGACTTGTTCAAGCTCTTTAACCTTTGACTTTGTTGCATCGGAATTATTGGGGGTTATGAAGGTTTGAGGTACCATATATTCATTATCCTCGAAAGTTTCCTGCTCCTCTGATTGGGTCGAGGCCGGCGACTGTGATTGCTATTTGACTTATTGTTTTCCCTTCGATTCCAATCTCTTTGTTGATCACAACGCCAATACTGGTGTTACTCATCGATTGCAAATATTTCCTTGGTGGCGGGTTGTTCACTGTACACCGTTTTGATTCCTTTTGATTTTGGGAATTTCAAGGCTTGGTGAAGCGTCGAGGGCACTACTCTCATATTATAAATCCAAGGCCTTTCGAGCACCAGGTTGTGCCTCATGTCGCCTTCGATCACATGGAATTTTGTTTCCTGGATAGTCCCGTCCACGTTTAATGGAAGAATGATTTCCTCTTTGGTGATTTCACTTGCCATGTTGAAGCCGTTAAGTACCCGAGCTACGGGCATGATCTGATCTTGAAGGCCGAGTTGCTCTATTACCCTTGATCGAATAATATTTGCCAAGCTACCCGGATCAATCAATAAATGTTTAAATTGAATTTTATTCATAAGGATAGGTATTGCTAGCGCGTCATTATGAGGTTGTTCGATCCCTTCTGCGTCCTTATCGTTGAAAGACAAGGTTTCTTCTGGTAAGTAGTCCAGAGTTCACTTTTCCCTCGTGATTGTCACTTTGGTGCATTTGAATACCGGTCTTTGAGGGATATCGACCCCACCGACGATCATATGAATTACGTGTTGTGTCTCTTCCTACTCGTTCTGCCTGTTCGAATCTCTATTTTTGAAGTGGTTCTTAGCCCGATCACTTAAGAATTCTTGAAGGTGACCCTCGTTGAATAGACAGGCTACCTCCTCCCTTAACTGTCTGTAGCCTTTGATTCTATGACCATGGGTACCATGGTATTTGTACATTTGATTAGGGTTCCTTTGAGCTGGATCGGTCTGTAAGGGTCTGGGCCATCTAGTATCCTTAATCCAACCAATGGCTGATACAACACCTGATGCATCGATGCTGAAGTTGTATTCTGACAGTCGAGGTGCCTCTTTGGTCCCGGTATCCCTATCAAAACTACTTTTGCTTCTAAGCCCTCGGGAACTCTGTCCCCGATCATTCCTTCTATCATTCCATATGGGGTTGTGTCCAGGCCTGTTATTTCTCTGATCTCCACTATATGGATGGTATCTATCTCTATTCGGTCGTGGTTCCATATCAACGTCCCTTTTAACTTTGTCCACGGGCCTGTTGGGATAAATCGTACCAATTGGAGTTCCCAGTTGGTCATCTTCGACCCTAATCTTCGGCTGGTACCAATTGTGTACATCAGCCCAAGTGACAACTAGATATTCGATCAAATTTTGCTTCAACTGTTGTGAAGTTATGGAGATCCGAGTGTTGAGACCTTGTGTAAAAGCTTGAAGAGCCCAGTCGTTGGTGACAGGAGGCAAATCCATTCTCTCTGCTTGGAATCGAGATACGAATTCCTTGAGCATCTCGTTATCCTTCTGTCTTACCTTGAAGAGGTTCGACTTCCTTGTTGCAACTTTAATGGCTCCGACGTGGGCCTTCATAAAAGAATCTGCGAGCATGGCAAACAAATTTATAGAGATGGGTAACAAGTTATGATACCATATCATGGCACCCTTCGGTAAAGTTTCTCCAAATTTCTTCAATAGAACGGTTCAATCTTATTTTCTTCTAAGTCATCACCCTTATTGTGCATGTGTAAGAAGTGACATGCTCATTAGGGTCGGTGGTCCTATTATATTTGGGGATTTCCGGCATATGAAGTTTCTTAGGAATGGGCTTCAGAGTTGCACTTGTAGGGAAAAGCTTCTGCATGAACTTCTTCGAATCCAAACCCTTTAGAATCGGGGGTGCCCCCGGTATTTGATCAACCAGTGAGTTGTACGTTTCTACCTTTTTGTCATTAGTCTCGATTTCATTTCACTTGATTCAATCCGCTTAGTGAGCTCCTCAAGCATCTTCGTAATGGCGGGATCAGTCCCCGATTCATTGGCGTCGATTTCTCCGGTACAGGTTCGATTCTATGAACAACTTCTTGTGATGTTTCGAGCTCAATTCTGCTTAGTGCTCGATTTTGATTTTGGAGTTGTGTTATTGCAGCTTGTTAAGTCTGCAACATTTCGAATATCATTCAAAGGCTAATTTTGCCTTCTCCACCGTTCTGTGCGTTCTGATCGGTTGCTCGAGAATCTCTCCAGACACTATTTCCAGGGTTGACGCCTAGATTTGCATCTAGGGCGACGTGCAAATTGACATCGATGGGGTCTACGATTGGTACTCCCTCGTGGGAAGCTTGAGGCACTTCGATCCCTGGGGCAGCTACATTATTGTTTTCTCCATGGAAACCGAGGCCGTCATCGGCGTGAGTGGTTACTGCTTGCGAGTTAGACATGTTGATCCTAAAATAAAAAATATTCACGAGAACAAGCGTAATGTAGTGTGTGTTAGGAGAATTAATATCAGACAATCACTATTATCCTTAGCCCCACGGAGGGTGCCAAACTGTTTACCCTTAAAATTGGATAAATGTGATTTTAAGGATACGTGATTTTACCTAATACCAATTGTAAATGTAAAGAGTAATAATAGAAATTCACAATAATATAAAGCAAACCAGTGTTTGAACTAAATTCAGCCATTGAGTTTGAATACCCTCGAACCGATTTGTGCAAGAAAATATAACAAGCTGATGAACAAGAATATGAACTAAAGAATAGGTGTTGTATTGCTTTGATATCTCAGAATGTAAGATGGTTACAAAATGATTAGGACCATCTTTATATAGTAGAGGATTCCTATCTATGGTACAATTCTAATTATGGAAGTAAATCTCATGATTAGATAAACAAATGCCCTTGATTTGATATGTTTCGAGATTTACGCCACGATCTCCGACCAGTCACGGATATCTCGCATTTCGGTTATTGCGCTTTGCTCGATGTCTGTCTCATTTGGTCTCAATCGCTACCGGCCTCGATTTCGAGAAGTACCTTGGTCCTCGAACTCGATATCTTATCCTCGTACTTTGGTCTGATCCACTTGGGGGCTGACCTTTGATGAAATTCCCTGGTCTCGATCAAATAGTAAAATCGGGTAGGACCGGTTTTAACCGCATACATGGCCCTTTTTCCCTCACAACATTATTTACACTATTATGACATTTAAATGTACTTGTATGTATAACTCATAATCAGTAAATACAATAAGTTAGAAAATAAGACAAATAATTTTTCTTTTGGTAAATAGAAATAATCTTTCTTATTAGGCTAATTGTGCTAAATATATTTATAGTATGATATTTTCATAAATTAAACCAAATAAAAATTGTGGGGACCATAAATTGCCACAATGCCACCTAATCTTAACCTTCATTTATAATTCTTCCGACAATGGTTGAAACTTGAAAGTCGCACCCTTTAAGGATCATTCCCGTCAGGGGTGTCAATGGTTCGGTTCGATCGGTTATTTTATAAAATTTGTACCATATCAATTTTTCGGTTATTCTATTATATATAATCAAAATTAGACTTTTCGAAATCGTTCCAATCATGTCGGTTTCTCTTCGGTATCGGTACGGTTCAGTTAATTTTCGGTATTTTTTTAATATCATATAAAAATCACCAGTAGAAGTAGAATTGCAATAACATATGTTCTTTTATAGGACTTAACAAAATTCTCTAGACATTTTTACTGTTTAAAGGGTGCTGAATTAAAAATAAAAAGATGGCTAGAGTATAGATCCATCAACTATTCTACAACAACGTAAAAGAAATCAAACAAAGGTAAAGAAAATATTAATCACACGAGTTGAAAGATATACCAAGCTGGGACTCAAGAATAAAGTCAATCGAAGATTAAATATTCAAAAAAATAAATCTAAATTATATGAAAGGAAACATATTTAATAAATTGTAGTTTGCTACTCATAATCGCTAGAATACTTTGTGTCTTGCTAATAAAGATACTTGAAATAACTTAGTTTAAGTAGAAGTAGCATAATATGTTTTAGGAATTAGTATTTTGAGTTTAATTACTTGTTGGCTTGTAATAGTTTTCATAATTCCAATGCTCAAAGAAAATTTAATGCATTATTATTTTTTAAACTTACTAAATAAATATAATTTTACATGTAAAATTTATTCGGTACGGTTCGGTATATTTTTTTTATATAAAATAAAAAACCTACCATAATTATCGGTGCGGTTATATATTTATATAAAAAGCTACGGTTTCTTAAAAAGAAACCTAAAAATTGGTTAGGTGCGGTACCATTCGGTCCGGTTTAGTCGGTTTTCCAATATGTGACACCCTAATTCCCGTCTCCCGAAATACCATTTAGTCCTATCCGAAAAAATCTCAAATTATTATCTGAACAATTTTCTATACATTAGGGCTTATTCAAGAACCAGTTCTTGATCCATCAACTAAAATGGTAGAATTAAAGTTTCTTGGTATGGACTTTGGTTGTGCACTTGGATCCCTTAGCAAAGGTGAATTCCCAGAAACAGATTGTTTGCTTCCTTTAATATCCAAGCTATTGGGATATGCCATTGTTGCTGCCTCCACTACTGTTAAACTTCCTCAGGTAATTTCCGGTTAAGCCCCTTAAAAATCCAGTCTTTATGTATTTATTGTGACGGTATTATTGAATTAGCTCAATTCTTGATCCAGATGAGTAATGGGTGTTTCTTAAATACTCTGAGTTATAGTCCTTTGGTTAAACTAACTTAGGTTATTTCCCTTAAGCCCCTTAAAAAATCCAGTCAGTATGTATTGTTGAGTCTTCATGTGACAGTATTATTGAACTAGCTCAATGCTGCTTAGTTGGTATATCTTGAATAGGCTGGGTTGATAACCAAATATATGAACTTTTACAGCCTTGATATAACCTGTTGGATAAACTTCCACAGGTAATTTACCTTAAGCCCTTCAAAAATCTAGTATTTTTTTAATTATTGACTCCTATTGTGATAGCAGTATTGAATGGAGTTAATTTTGGATCCAGTTAAGTTATGGGTGTTTCTTGAATACTCAGAGTTTACAACCAGTATATATAAATTTTTGCTACCATGTATGAGCTGGTCGTTCTGTTTAATTCTGCCTGATAAGATGCCCGTTCATCATAAATCAATCAATCAACTACACCTGGATCCACAAAATAAATAGGGAGGCTTTACTTGTGGTTTCCGAGCCAACTTGCCTGCACCTTGGCTATTCCACGGGGTAGGTGCTACCTTCCACCAACATAGGTACTAGGCAAACTCTACTCACTTAGGTTCTGTATCTGCTGGGATTTGAACCTTGGTCTTTGTGGTTTTCACCCACTTCATTGACCACTTGGCCATACCCTTTGGTGCATTAATAGGGTGGCTTTATGAATCTTCTGTATCTTTCACTCTCTTTAAGTTCATTTCATTCCATTACTAAATAATTTGTTTCTAGAATTGAAGGTTCCATGAACCCCACATGTATCCTTACCTGCCTATTCCTCATGTCGCTAAAAGGATTTCTTGGCAGCCTCTTTTACATTTCGTAGAAGTTTGATGATTCATTAATTGCTGTCTTTTTGTGAATATCTATTGTTCTTTTCTTTTCTCATTTTGGTACTTTGGGCGGATGTTCGGTAAGAGAAGTTGCTTAGGTTGTCAGTGGTTATCTTAATTTGTTAGTTCATTGGCTATAGTGACGTTGTTTCGAGTCTTTTTATTTTGATTAGAGACTTGTATGTTTGTGTATATAAGTGTAAGTTTTAGAGACTTTCTAGGTTTTGGATGACTCATAATTCACCTTAGAAGACAGCATTGGAATATTAATTATGACCTGAATAATAATTATCTATTTGATTGATTTATTCGCTATTGTGATGGTATCCATTAGGAGGGCATTTAGTTGAGCATTCAGTTTCTTTCCCTTAAATTCTGGCTGATGATTTCACAGAACACATGTGATTCACTGATTCACTAAGTGTGTGGTTTATGGTTTCTGTTCCTTGTGCAGATACTTAAAATTTTGCAACACAAAAGTGTTAGAGGACTTAGCGTTGTGGCCTTTGAACTTGAACTAATTGGTTATACCATTGCTTTGGCATATTGTCTTCACAAAGGGCTTCCATTTTCAGCTTTTGGCGAGTATGCTTTTCTTTTGATCCAAGGTACATTTGACATGCCAATAATACATTGATTTGATTCTTTAGTTCCTTTGGCCATATCTTGAGAAACTAGGGGCATTGCAGCTTCTCAAATCTGCATTTTGTGTGGGTGGTTGTTTGAAATGATTAGACATCGCTTTCTCTTCTTCAACTTCTTCGAGCAGATGGTGCATTACCTTCAAGAAGCTCTGCAAGAGCCTTTAATCAATGCTTCTTACCGCAATTTCTCATTCTCGTGTTTTCCTTTCATAAAAAATCCAGTTAAAGAGTCTAGGGAAAGGGAGCGGACAAAAATTGGGTGTCAGCTTTCAGGACATTCACGGCAGATTGTTTTCTATGCTATTGTGATTAGTGATTCCTTTGCGGGTGGAGAGCTTTAGCTTCAGTCATGGCAGTTTAAAATCTCATTTTCATACTTTCAGATGGCTGGATCAATAGTTTTAATATCTATTGTTTTTTTTCCTTTTTGCAGCTATAATTTTGGTTGCAGTTATCTACTATTTTTCTCAACCTTTGGGAATGAAGACATGGATGAAACCATTACTGTATCCTAATTCCAGCCTGCTCCACCTTTTGGTTTCATGATAGACATTCCCATTTACATGCATATAAGCCATTTATTTTAGACCACTTATGTTCCATGGAATTAGAATCTGCAGTTCCTCCTGATCTAGTAAACAGATATTGTGCTGTTGCACCGACTATTTTGGCAGGTCAAATTGATCCCGTTCTTTTCGAGGCTCTATATGTAAGTGATAGCCTTTATCTTTGGTCTGTTTTCCTAGTTCTATTTGTTTTCTGGGATAAAACATTCCAAAAGATTTACGTTTCTCTTCATTAACGGGGTCCAAATGAACACTTTACCTTTGCTCATTTTTGTCTGAAAAGTATGAGAAATAAGAGAAAACATTTGGGAGAATGCGTGACAAGTCTCTTATGCCTAGAAGTTCTTATGGATGATTTATGCAATATACATAGTACTTCGGATGTGGGATAATATATATGATGCAACTTTATAACATTCTAACACTCTTTCTTAAACTCAAGGTGGTTAAGTCACCTTGAGTTCGCAAAACTTGAACTGCTGGTTAGTTGCAGCACTCATACTGCAACTGTTGCTGGAATAGTTGCTGAACAGAAATAGTTTTGGAACAGCGACTGAATAGTCTCTGGAATATTAATAGAATAGTGCTGGAACAATCACCGAAAAGAGGCACAACTCAATTGGAACAGTCGCTGGAAAAGATACAGTGAAGGAAAAATCACCGGAAAATCTACAAGAAAAGGTGCAGTAGTGGTCACTGTAAAGAAACCAGAAAACTGAAATTAGGAAAGAGAGAAACTTTTAGAGGCTTGATACCATGTGGGAAATAGGGCAGAGATTGGAAGGATGCGTTAAGTATGTGTTTTATGCGTAAGAGTTTTTATAAATGGTATATACAATAAGCATGAGAATTTCTTCCGATGTTGGAAAGCATATCTAATCTGACAGGCTAACTAAACTTAATTATTTCAGGCTTCCCAACATGCAATCTTTCTCTTTGCAAGGATTCCGCAGATATGGAAGAACTTTCAGGTACAGATTTATGCCATGATGGTTCCCATTTTCATGAAGCTGTCTTTTATATGTTAAGAGTAACTGGTTTATTGGCTAAGTTCTGAAATAATGAGTTCATTGACCTATTATGTTGGTTGTTAACTACTAAATGTATTCTAGCGTCAACTGCTCGTTAAATGGTATATTTATGACTTGTCATGCATATGTCTGTGTCACACACCTTGTTTCTGTTAATTTACTTGAAACTTGACTTTATGCCAAAGCAAGTCGTGTTTATTGTGGATCGACTGGGAAATGTAATTACCCTATGTACCTCGACAATCTTTGAAAACTTTCTGGTATATGCTGTGGAAATGATGCCAATGGTATGACCGATTGAAAAGAAAGAAAGCACTGGTGGCTCTAAAGCAGACTAGTATACGTTTGATCATATTTGGGTAAAATCTGAAATCACACATGAAGTAGATGAATGTGGTGACCTGAATAGTTTTTCCTGACTGAATTCTTATGATCATTCATCGAATGATTAGCAACCACTCGTTACCATATCTGCAGTCCCCATTTATTTGATTTGCTTTCAGAGATCTTTTTGTGGCTTCATCTATAATAATAATGTTCTCTGGATTTCCTGGTTGTCACTTTATTTACGCTTTTCTTTTTGTTGCCTTGATTTGAGCAGAACAGAAGTACTGGCGAGCTGAGCTTTTTGACCTTTTTTATGAACTTTGCCGGTTCCATGGGTAAGTTAACTCTGACTGCGAACTTTTGCATGCCGATTCTCTGTTACTGAAATGAAGTTCTCATCTCCTTTACCTTTTATTATGCAGTTAGAGTTTTTACCAGCCTCCAGGAAAAAGCTCCCATGAGCGGTATCCTTTCTTACTCAGTTTGATCTGTACCTCTATATTATTTTGCAAACTGCTCCTGGAATATGGAAGCATTAGTATCTTATTTTATTTTGAACGTATAAGCTGATGCATTCTTTGTTATATTCTAGTTTTGTCAAATGTGCATAACTATGATTAGAATTCTTACTGGTATCATGGGATTTACAGTACCCACTGTGCGAATGCTAGCCAATTTTCTCACCATTATCTGCGGCTCTAGTCAAACAGACTCAGCTTGTCCACTCAAAGTATGTTTAAGATGTTTTTAGGATGAAAAAGAAAATGAAAAATAGAAAGAAATTTGAAGTCTTTACAAATGAATTTACAGAATGATATTCTCGAGATCAATACGTTCCCTTGATAGTACCCTCTTACAGATATATAGCTCATATACTCCATCCTAGGGCTTACAAGTTGCAACGAATCCTTTCACCATCTGGGATGTCAATTTACCTACTAAATAGCTACCATACCTACCTTGGACCCCATCGCTATTGTTTCGGCTATTCTATTATTGTACCATTGGTCATTTTGTTAACTAGGAAAAAAAAGGGCGGTCCGGTGCACTAAGCTCCCGCTATGTGCGGGGCCCAGGGAAGGGCCAGACCACAAGGGTCTATTGTTCGCAGCCTCACCCTACATTTTTGCAAGAGGCTATTTTCACGGTTCGAACCTGTAACCTCCGGGTCACATGGCAGCAATTTTACCAGTTATGCCAAGGCTCCCCTTTATTTTGTTAACTAGGACTATTTGTAAATTATTTTCATATTTAATAGTACGTCTGAACATTTGAGATTCCTGAACAATATTCTCAAGGAAAGATTTCCACATCAGAAAGGATGTCTAGAGTTTTTAATTCAGTATGAAGTGTCCTGAGTGCCACAACTTTGTATCTATCATCTGACATATATTCAGCTTTACGTTTATTCTTGTATGATCTTTGTAATTTGATCAATCCCGCCCTTTTAACTCTCCAAGTCTCCTTAATTTGTTTGCAGTTGCCTTGGGATCTGCACTTGGTGTACTGATGAATGGTACCATCTTGAGTCAAATTATCATATATCAAAAGCCGACGCCTCAGAAAGAGAAAAAGAGAGATTAGAATGGATTTGGAGCTCACCGTCAAGATTGTCAAGCATGAAGAAGAGTTCATCCATGTAATACTCTGAGAATCTGTCATGGTTTCGCTTATTTCAAATTTTAGATTGATCGATCAGTTACAGGATTTTTAACCATAGTCTCAGTATGGGATTTTTTACATAAGTATGCTAACACATAGGTGTAACAATTGCTTTTTGTTCCATTCCTGATGGTGCTTGCAAGGAATTTGGTAAAGATGTGTTACTGGGGAAAGTATTGTCATTTGTCAACTAATCTGTTGCTGCTTTATGCAACTGGAAAAGATTGACAAAATGTAAACCGAAAATAATTTGCAAAAATGCTGCTAGTACCTTACCGTCTGTTGTTTTTACCAAAGCCAAGTGATAGAAAAAACTTTTGGGAATGATAATAGTGTTCCTTGTCATGGGATGGGAAAGGACACATGTCTCTGTTGACGCATCATGAGAAGTACCAACTAAACTCCCCTGTTTGGCTTAGTTGATGTGTGTGGTAAATAAGTATTGGTAAGCACTTTTTTCTGATAAGATAAATGAAATATCCCTAAACCTGTTAAATCTATAAAGGAGCTGATTACCATAAGATTTTAAATTCTAAATTAATTCACATACAAAATTATTTATATTTGAATTTAAACCGATTAGCTAAGATAATATGTATTTCATAAATTTACTCTCAGAAGATTTGGCAATCCCACATTCCTAACTACAAAGTTTTTTTTTTATTTAATAATTGTATCACCACTTTACTTAATCTGATTGCTAAATGGTACGTGCACGATTGCTACAGCAACAAATTACACAAAATTTCAGTTCTAGCAAAAAATAAAGAAGGATATTAAGTTTAAACGGGAGGATTTAAATTTATGTTTATGTAATCTTAAAAGGTTGGTGCTGTAATCAATTTTCGAACTTATCTCCATATATGAACCAATTATTGTCTAGCCTTAGCTTCTGTTAAATACCAACAACTTAACGTCTTTATCAAGGAAGAGGAAAGAAAGAGTAGAAGAGCGCTATGGAGAAGAAAAAAGAAGGAACCACAGCATAAGGGTAATGTTGGAATTATAAAAATAATAAGGGATAGGATATTAGAACACTTGGTCAAACATAGATACGCCTTCCGTCATTGATTGATTACGGAATTTAAGAAAGTAATGAAAGCTTTCAAGTTCTTGGTATTAAATTAAAGATGTGCATAATATACCAAAATGTCATTGAATCATATGGTCTTAAAAATGCCATGTGTAAAGTTCAAGTTAAAAAGTTATTCCATTCGGTCCACAATAAGTGACCAGTTTGCTTTTGGCACACCCATTAAGAAAAACTAAATTTTAGACGAAAATAGTTAGTGTGACTAAACTACCCTTCATTAAATGTTGCACCTGATAATAAGTTAAATCTAGGTAATTTGGCAATTGTTTATGCTCCCACTTGATTATATTCCAATATCATAATATGGTTAATTGATGAAAAATAGGCTCTAATTGTGAATTGTATATATTGCAGGATGAGGAGCATAGGTGATGCCTTAAACAATTGTGATTGGAACCATTTTGGAGCAAGAAAAACCCCTCAGAGCTGAGTACGCTTGAAGACGAGGAACAGAAGTGATGAAACACAGAACTGGACATGCGCGCCCAGGTGCGTGACCGCACTACTTTTAGCGCGTCTATGACAGAATCTCAGCCAATTAGCGCGGCCAGATGCGCGGCCAGGCGCTAGTCCAAAATTCGGGAAGAGTTATTTTGGGGTAGAATTTGAAATCTGGAGGAAAACTCACTTAACCTATATAAAGTCAAGCTCGCCCAAGGAAGAGAGAGGAGGTTTTTCATAGTCTAGTGCAAGAAATAGAGAGACAAGAGGCAAGGAAGAGATTTGACCATCAAGTTCTTCTTTTCTTCTCTTGGTTTTTGCTATTTGGGATGAAATTGAATCTATTTGTGATGAACACTAGCATGAGTAGCTAAAACCCATTGTTCTAGGGTCATGGGTGAAACATGAATGTTGTTGTTTGAAGTTCAATTTGACAAAGTTGGTTTATCATATTGGGTTGTTTATTTAATTCTACTTTTAATTATTTTGCTGAGTAGTTAACAGTGAAATACTATCTACGAATCTTTAGTTGAACTCGAAAGTGGGAACTTTAGATTGCATATAGAATTAAATAGGGCAAGTTCTTGAACCCGGGCCTCGGGGAACGGATTAGCAATTGGGATAGACATATACCTAATTGCCTTGCTTGGTTGAAATACGAGAATTGTAAATGCATTCTTGTTAATCTTAATTCCATAGACATATAGGCATTGAGTTAACTTGAATAGGCGAGTAAGAACTTGA